TGACATAGCAAAAGTAGAGAAATTAAATGATATTAGTATTAATGTTTTTGGGTTAGAATATAATAAAGAAAAACGATGTAATTCTATAGTAGGTCCATTATTTTTAACAAAGTGTCGTAAAGATAGACATATCAATTTATTATTTTTTTCCAAGGATACAAAAAATCATTATTGCTATATAAAAAATTTATCGCGGTTAGTTAGTAAACAAATTTCAAAAGACGGTCACATCATGTACATTTGTGAAGCATGTCTACTTCGTTTTCCATCTCAGGAAAGGTTAAATAACCATGAACAATACGATTGTGCCCACATTTGTACAGTATTACCAAACAGTGAAACTTTAAAAAAAAAGAATTGGTATGGTCAACCTATTTCAAATGATAAAATTAAATTTGATAGTTATGAAAAAAAGTTAAAGATACCATTCGTAGTTTATGCTGATTTTGAAGCATTTTTAAAACCAATAGAATCATGTTCTAACGATCCTTCCAAACCTTTCACTCATAATATTCAGAAACATGAAGTACATAGTTTTGGATATTATATAAAATGTTCATATGATGATAAATTATCAAAATATGTAACATATTGCGGACCCAACTGTGCACAAGTGTTTATGGAAAGTTTATCTAACAATCTAAAAGAAATAAATAGACTTCAAAAATATCCACCACTTCCGCTAACAAATGAAGACAAAAACCAAATTTCAAATGCAACCATTTGTCATATTTGTGAAACTGAGTTGGCAAAACATTTTTATGATTTTGATTGGTACACTGGTAGTTTTATAGGTGTTGCTCATGAATCATGTTGTTCGAAGATCAGAACACCTAGTTATATACCAATATTTTTACACAACCTTAGTCACTATGATGCTCATTTTATTGTTCACGCGTTAAACTTTTGTGATGGTGAAGTCGAAGTTATCCCTCAAAATAAAGAAAAATATATATCCTTTTCCAAAAAATTAAAAGTGAATAACCACGAAATTATATTGAGATTCTTAGATTCATTTAAGTTTTTATCGTGTAAATTAGAAGAATTGGCCAAAAATCTCAGTAATGATCAATTTCAAGAATTACGTAGAAATTACCCTAATGATGAAGATTTCTTTCGTTTAAAACGGAAAGGGGTTTATCCATATGAACTTATGACTAATTATGATAGTTTAAGTCTAACATCGCTCCCTGAACAAAAATGTTTTTATAGTTCACTCACAGATTCACATATTTCAAATGATGATTACAATCATGCTAAAGATGTTTGGGAACATTTTGGGTGTTGTAATATGCTAGATTATTCAAACCTATATTTAAAAACAGACGTTTTACTTTTATCCGATGTATTTGAAAACTTTAGAAAGTTATGTATTAATACATATGATTTAGACCCTGTCCATTATTACACAGCACCCGGTTTAAGTTGGGATGCAATGTTAAAATATACAAAAATAGAATTAGAACTTTTAACAGATTATGAGAAAATTGCATTTATTAGATCAGGTATCAGAGGTGGTGTATCTCAATGTAGTAATCGTTATGCTAGAGCTAATAACAAATACATGGAGGATTATGATACAGGGAAACCAAATTCATATATCACATATTTTGATGCCAACAATTTATATGGTTGGGCTATGTCTCAATATCTTCCTACTGGTGGATTCGAATGGGTAAATCCAAATACAGAATTTAATGTGTCTAAGACATCAGACTTCGGTTTTATTTTAGAAGTTGATTTGGAATATCCAGATGAACTTCATGATTTACATTCGGACTTTCCTTTATGTCCAGAAAACATTTGTGTAGGCAATATTAATGAGAATAAACTAGTCCCAAATTTAAATAATAAAGATAAATATGTAATTCATTACAGAAATTTAAAGCAGTGCATAGAAATGGGGGTTAAATTAACTAAAATTCATAGAGTTTTAAAATTTAAACAGTCTCCCTGGTTGAAGATGTACATAGATCTAAACACAAAATTAAGAACTTTAGCAAAATCAGATTTCGAAAAAGATTTTTATAAATTAATGAATAATTCAGTCTTCGGTAAGACTATGGAGAATATTGAAAAAAGGGTTAACATAAAATTAGTTACGCACTGGGAGAACCAGGGTAAAGCTTTAGGTGCTCAAGATCTAATCGCTAAACCACAATTTCATAGCCTTTCAATATTTTCGGAAAACCTAGTTGCGGTTCAGTTGCGAAAAACGAAGTTAATATATAACAAACCAATTTATTTAGGGTTTTGCATTTTAGATATTTCAAAAACATTAATGTATGATTTTCATTATAACTATATGATTAAAAAGTTTAGTAAAATCAAATTATTGTATACAGATACGGATAGTTTAATATATCATATATTTACAAATGATTTTTACACTGATATAAAACCTGACCTTTCATCATACTTTGATACCTCAGATTATGATATAAATAATATTTTTGAATATCCAAAATTAAATAAAAAGAAATTAGGTTTTTTTAAAGATGAAAATAATGGTAAAATCATGAAAGAATTTGTGGGTTTACGATCCAAAATGTACGCTTTTAACTTAGAGAATAAGACTATAGCCAAGGCAAAAGGGGTAAATAAATGTATCACTAAAAAGATGACAATGAATAGTTATAAGTCTTCTCTATTTAATAAAAAAGTGCAATATTATAGTATGCTTAGATTTAAATCAATTAAACACACAATTTTCACACAAAAATTAAATAAGATAGGTTTATCATATAATGACACAAAGAGACATATTTTAGATAATAATATTGAAACATTAGCTTGGGGTCATTATAAACTGCGTTAAGTGTTGATAGTTTTTACTTTTATGTCTGCGTTTAAGAAAAATTTATATTGATTGTAAAATTATGATAATACTATAATATGACGTAGTTTATTACATATTTAAACATTGTTTTATTGTAAATAATTTAAGTTAATTGTTGTTTCTATTTATTTGAGGTTGAGTTAATTGTAAAATTATGATGTACTAATTGTTGTTTCTATTTATTTGAGGTTGAGTTAATTGTAAAATTATGATGTACTAATTGTTGTTTCTATTTATTTGAGGTTGAGTTAATTGTAAAATTATGATGTACTAATTGTGTTAGAAATAGTATACAGATAATTCTGTTTTATATAATTTTTGGAATATATATTAATTGTTTACACCAACACTTTCATTTTTTATTTCACCCCTTTGAACTTTAGACGTGTGTTATGTTTCACTTTATCCATCCGTTCACTGCTATTGTGGCAGGACCAAGTGGGTGTGGGAAGTCAAATTTTGTAACAAATTTTATAAAATCAGTTACAGAAATATGTAATTGTGATTTTAATCAGATCACATGGTGCTTTGATGAAATGCAACCATTATATAATTTACCAAATGTTAACTATCATCAAGGAATTCCAAATCTTAATATGTTTGATGGTGAAAACCCACATCTTGTTATTATTGATGATCTAATGAGAGAGTCCGATGGAAGAATTGTGGATATATTTACAAAAGGTAGTCATCACAGGAATCTTAGTGTATTTTATCTAACACAAAATTTATTTCATCAGGGTAAAGGACAAAGAGACATATCTTTAAACTCAAGTTATATAATATATTTTAAAAACCCTCGAGATAAAACTCAAATAAGATATTTAGCAAGACAAGTATCACCAGATAACCCAAAATTCATTGAAAATGCCTACAGGGATGCAACTCTAGAGGCACATGGATATTTAATGGTAGATTTAAAACAGAATACCAATGATTTTTGTCGTATCAAGACAAATGTCTTTCCATTTAATGGTTTCTGTACAGTCTACGTCCCCACAAAAGAGTTTAAATACACCAAGAATCAAACAATTGAAATCATTGCTAAATGATGCATCGTCGACTCACAACGTATAAACATTTGCTAACCGCTTTGCATACGCTTAAACCAAAATATCAAAGAGCATTACTTAAAACGTGTGATGAAGAAGAAATTAACTGTATTTGTGAGTGTATTCATAACGTTTTACAAGGAAAAGTACCTCTTAAAGATCAGGATAAACAAAAATTGAATAAACATAAAAACATACTCCGTAAACTAGTACGTAAGTGTAAACATAAACTAAGAAAAAATATAATTATACAAAAAGGAGGGGCTTTCTTACCAACAATATTAGGTGCAATATTGAGTGGATTAGTGAGTGGACTAGCCAGTTAACATGGAAAATGCAAAGAAAATGATACTTATCGAACCTGGATTGATTGAAAAATTAAAACAAGAAAATAAGGTTAATAGTAATTTATCTCGATTAGATATTGAAATGCAAAATATTATGAATAGTAAGACGGAAGACCGAAAGAAATGGATATTATATTTACAAACACTGCAAAGATACCTTCATTTTACCGAAGAGGATCGTCAACCACTCAAATTACCAATTTATTCTGATACATCTAATGAAGATTCAAATGAGTCAAAAATTGGTTTTAAAAATAAAGATAGAGATCTAAAAACTTCAGTTGATATTGAATCTTTGCTGGAGGAGAATCGATCCATTAAAAGTAAAGAAAATGATGAAAATCCACTTTACACACCAACTCAAATACTCAGTTTAATACCAAAAACTTATCATAAAAAAGGGCAGTTATTATTAAACTTAGTTGAAACAAGTAAAAGTAAAATACATTGGGATAACGAAGGTACAGTCATAATTGATAGTGAAAAAATTCCTGGAAGTAATATTGTTGATTTAATAAATGATTCACTAAGACCCCTAAAAAGAAGTGATCCGGTAGGGTGGGTTAGATTTGCTGAAGCATTAAAAGATATTAAAGTACCACTTACTTATATTGGAAATCCAAGGAGATGTGAGTTTATTAACCAACTTCAAGCAAAAGATCTGAACAAACCCTCTGAGATTGAAGTTCAAGAGTTTTCTACACCGTGCAGTAGAGATAAAAAGTCTACAACTAAAATACGTAAAGGACTTGAGTGGGAAAAATGGACTCCGTACTAGAAGAAATTAACAGGATTTATTATGATCCATCTAATCCCGCTGGTTTTGGTAGTATTGATAAATTATCAAAAGCCATAAAGGGTAAAATGAATAAAAAGCAAGTAAAGGAATGGTTAAAATCACAAGAAACATACACATTACATAAACCCATTCGAAAAAAATTCCCGCGTAATAGGTACATTCTATCAAATATTAATGAACTGTGGCAAGCTGATTTAAGTGATATGCGAACTTATTCTCAATATAATGATGGTTTCAAGTATATACTTTGTATTATTGATGTATTTAGTAAATATGCTTTTGCAAGACCAATGAAGAAGAAAAACTCAGAAACAACTAAAGAATGTTTTGAAAGTATATTTACTGAAAGTAATTTAACACCTACTCACATACAATCCGATAAAGGTACAGAATTTGTTTCAAAAGATGTACAAAAATACTTTAAATCCAAAAAGATTAATTACTATACCACTAACAATCCTGACATTAAGGCCAGTATTGTTGAACGATTTCAAAGAACACTAAAAATGAAAATGTGGCGTTATTTCACTCATAATAATACTTATAGATATATAGATGTTTTACAAGATTTAATATACTCTTATAATCACAGCTTTCACTCTAGTATTAAGATGTGCCCATGTGATGTAAATTCCAACAATATTATGACAGTTTGGACTAATCTTTATGACAGACGGTCAAAAAACTTTCTTTAGAAAATCCTAAACCAAATTTCAATGTGGGTGATTATGTTCGAATAACTAAATATAAACATGTATTCCAAAAAGGATATGAATCAAATTGGAGTGATGAAATATTTATTATATCTTCAATAATTGATAGATCTCCATGGGTTGTTTATACAATAACAGATTTACAAAATGAACCAATAATTGGTACTTTTTATGAAAGAGAAATACAGAAAATCACTTACAACCCCACCTCACAACATAAAATAGATAAAATAATTGACACTCGTTATTCAGGTAACAGAAAAGAAGTATTAGTGAAGTGGAAAGGTTATCCAGATAAATTTAACAGTTGGATTTTAGCTTCTAGTTTAAAAGAAATATGAATAAAGAAAGTTTCTATTTAACTTTGCTCAGCAATAGTTCAATGGAATACTTTCCTGATAACAAGACCACAAATTTTTCAACGAAATTACCAAAAGCTATAAAATTAGAAGGTGAATGGTCGGTTGGAGTTGTCGAGTTTCAATATCCATGTACCATGTTTACTGTTCAAGACCATGAAAATGTTATATACATTACAAAATCTATGTTAATGCCTAATGAAGATAAACCATCCACAGTGTACTACAAAAAACATATTCCAGCTACCAACTATGATAACGTTGAGCATATTTTAAGAGTGTTAAATGGTATCGGAGAGAACTTGAAATTTCGCTATGATGAAATAACAAAATTTGTGTCTATTTCGGTATTGGATAAAAATATAACATCCGTAACATTATCACCCAAATTAAGTTTACAGCTAGGTTATGAACCAAATAAAAATCTCCTAGAGAGAAATTTTGGAAAGTGTCCTGCTAATTTACACTTAGGGTTACCATCTCAACTATTTCTATATTGCGACATTATCGATCCTCAGATTGTGGGTGATGTTATGACTCCTTTATTAAGAGTCATTTCATTAGATCCTACAAAATACATTTATGGTGCAAATAAAATGCACGTTTTCTCTCAACATCACTACTTACCTGTTATGCGAAGAGAGTTCGATACGTTGGAAATAGTTATAAGATCGAGTACAGGACAAAAAATACCATTCCAGTTTGGAACCGTGTGTATTAAACTACATTTCCGAAAATTATAATAATGAATTCTCTTCGTGATCATCATAAATGTCCATATGAAAATTATTATACACATCAAGCTGGATCAGGAGTTGGAGTAATTTATAAGGGTTCACCATATCAACGCGGTCATGGTATTGGGAGCTTCTTAGGGGGGTTATTCAGATCAGTTTTACCTTTACTTTCAAGTGGTGCTCGAGTGATTGGTAAGGAGGCATTAAGCGCTGGAGTAGGACTTTTATCGGATATGGTTCAAGCCCGTCCTATGAAAGCCTCAATAAAAGATCGTCTAAAGCAAGTTAGTACGAATTTAAAACGAAAGGCTGATGAGAAAATTGATCAATTTAACATGACTGGATCTGGGTATAAAACTAAAAGAAAACGATTGACATCGTTCATTCCACCATTAACTGCTAAAGTGAAAGCTGCGAAAAAACTTAGTCTAAAACCAAAAAATATCAAAGATATATTTTCAAACTAAATATGTCTTTCCTTCATAATCATTCTTGCGAGTGCGTTAAGTCAGAATTGGATTTGTTTGCACTACCGTCTACACAAACTAGCATTGAAAATGGATTGTGGATTCATTATAAACCAATTTCATCTCTTGGTGATGATGGACCTATCGAGTTTCAAGTTCCTGGAACCGGCGATGACTACATAGATTTGTCTCATACATTACTCCACATAAAGGCAAAAGTATTAAATCAAGATTCAACTAACTTGGTATCTACTACAATAGTAGCACCTGTAAATAATTGGCTGCATTCACTTTTTAGTCAACTTGATGTTTATTTAAACCAAAAACTTGTATCACCACCTAATAATACCTATGCATATCGAGCATACATGGAAACCCTTTTAAACTATGCCCCTGCTGCTAAACAATCTCATCTTACTTGTAGTCTTTGGTATGAGGATACAGCAGGAAAAATGGATTCTACAGATGGTAAAAACATAGGATTTGTTAAAAGACAGGAATTGATTAGTGAAAGTAAGGAAATAGAAATGATTGGTCATCTTCACGGTGACATTTTTAACCAAGATAAATTTTTAATTAATGATGTTGAAATGAGTGTTAAATTGGTTCGATCAAGAGAGAGTTTTAATTTAATTGTTGGGTCGAACGATGTAAAGTTTAAAGTTTGCATTACGGACGCAACTCTTATTGTGCGACGAGCACGAATTAATCCAAGTGTATTACTCGCACATCAAAAAGTTTTAGCTTCTACCACTGCTAAATATCCTATTACTCGAGCTGAAGTAAAAGTTTTAACAATTCCTTCAGGTGTTCAAGGAAAAACTCTTGATAATATATTTTTAGGACAGGTACCGAAAAGATGTATAATTGGATTTGTGAACAATTCTGCATTTAATGGTTCCCTTACTAAAAATCCATTTAACTTTGAAAACTATGGTATTAATTCTTTCAGCTTATATATTGATGGTCAACAAATACCTTCAAAAGCTTTGCAACCATCTTTTAATAATAGCATATTTACATCAGCATATCATACTCTATTCTCGGGAACTGGTATTCACTTTCTTAATGAAGGAAATGGAATCTCTTGTGAACAGTATGGCAAAGGTTACTGTCTATTAGCATTTGACTTAACTCCTGATTTATCAGCTAACTCATCAACTCATTGGAATCTCATAAAGCATGGTAGTGTAAGAATAGAAGTACGATTTGAATCCTCATTAATACAAACAATTAACTGTATAGTTTATGCTGAGTTTGATAATATTATTGAGATAGATAAAAACAGAAATGTTACTGTAGACTATAGTAGTTAAGGTTATAATATGTGTTGTGTGTTAGATTTTATGTGTTATGTGTAATGCATTTTGTGTGTATGTAACTATGTGAAACGTTATAAAATTAAATAAAACAAATTGTATGCAATATATTTTTTTTATTTCTTTATAAATCTTCTATTTAATCTAATACAAAACACTGTTCGAGTTGAAATTTTACATAAGCACACTGACTAAACCACTGAACATACTGCTGCCAAGGATCATCATCATCTTCCCAATCTTTTAAACCACCACCACAATGGAAACACTTGGTCCCGTCTGCATGGCCAGTATAAAAGAAACCAGCTTCGGCAAGATCTTCAGGTTTCTGTCGCATAACTAGAGGCCAGTTTTCGAAACTAAGCAAACGGCTAGATTTTGAACTGAAGAATGGATATTCAGCTCTTGAGTACTGCATACTCTTCTCGTTTTCTTCTCCACTCAGTGTTGTAGTTTTGTTATTCAATGATGTGTTTTGTACACGTATGCCACACTCATCTCTTCCTTCCGCTCTTGTCTTCATGTAATTGAAGTAAACAGAATCACATTCACTAATGATCAGCTAATGACTGTCATTGTTAAAAAAGTATTTTTTAACTTTTTCACTTTCTGCTATTGTCTTTGTTATATTGTATACGAGGGCGTTTGTGTTGTCGTAGATGCTATCCTTATTAGTCTTTACGTAATATTTAATTCTAGTGGAAGCATGTTTCCAATGATCAGTAGTTGGAATCTTGGATAGCTTCTTCATATCGTACATTTCAATTTTGATGAGATGCGTCGCTTGGTCTCCGTCGTCAGAATTAGTAGAAATGTATGATACACCATCTCTAGCGGCTCGTGCTACGGTTGATGATAACAGCTTCCTCTTTTTTATTTTTGATTCAGCTTCAAAAAAATGATCAATCGATTGCGATTTTCTTTTTCCACCATCGCATGTGTTATTATTAATGACGAGGTTATCACTCTCTTCTTGAGGGGAGAGTGGCGAGTAGTAATACTGTTTATAGGTATCTTCATCGAAGCTCAATGATTTCTGCAACAACACAGTTATCATGTTAATATCAATTTGTTAACACTTAATCATAAAAGTTAAAAAAGTTAAAGTTACAGCCTATTAAAGTCCACTGCTGAACATAGGCCTCCTCTCATTTCTGAGAGGGTTTTAGAGCAAGGAAATGTCCGCCGCGCTCCCTCAATGTGTGTTGGCGAACTTCACATGCCTTCGAAATTTTCTCAGACATGCAGGTTTCCTCACGATGTTTTCCTTCACCACCAAGCACGTGGTAATAAGCACTTAAAATTGCTATTAACAATTTAATTGGTGCTGGCGGGGATCGAACCCGGGTCGCGTACTGTGAAATTTACAGCTAGCGCTAACCATCTGAGTTACCACGGCTTAATCATATACATACACAATATTTAAATAAAATAATACACACACATGAAAATAACAGAAAAAAGTAATTTAGTCAATAGAATAAACACTTACATCCATAGCCTTTGGTGTATTGAAGTAACACAAATGTACTATTGATAGATCCACTGTAGCCAAACGACCGTACACTAACTCGATGACTGCGTTTGTTGGTCTTATATACCACCAGTACGTAAAAATTCTAATCTAAAGTATTTCCGTAATGAGTTGATAATTACTTTATGCGTCAACCAGTTTATCTCACATTTCCGTTGCCTATCTCAACATTTCTTCGTATTGTGTTTTGTTTGGTGATCAATGACTCAAGTACGATTTGTATAACACAAAAATGCAATTTAATATTTAGAAACATATCAGTTTATCTCACATTTCCGTTGCCTATCTCAACATTTCTTCGTATTGTGTTTTGTTTGGTGATCAATGACTCAAGTACGATTTGTATAACACAAAAATGCAATTTAATATGTAGAAATCACTATAATTGACCATTCCTATGTTATTCATTGAGTAGCTAGGTACTGTAATAATCTACTAATAGCAGTAATATCATGGATACACTAGATGTACAACAACATCTGAAAAAGATTCACCCCAGTCTAGAAAATAATGTTTATGCAGCTAATAGACTGCCTATGTATACCCACGTACCAACGTATATAATATGTAATTTGGATACAGATGATAAACCAGGGTCACATTGGGTAGCTTTATATATCGATACGAATGACGTCGGTCAATATTTTGATTCATATGGACGATCACCTGTACGATATCATCTAGAGTTTTTAAAAAGGAATTGTAAAAGATGGAACTGGAATGTTGATAGGATTCAGAATGAGTGGACTTCAGTTTGTGGCGAATATTGCTTAATGTATTTGCTATATAAGTTTCAAGGATGTTCAATACATAGTTTTACGAGTATATTTACAAGGAACACATTGTACAACGATATTTTAGTGGATGAGATGTTTCGCTCCTATTTTATAGATAATAATTAATAAGATTTTGTATTTTATAAATAAAAATTGTAACAAAATTATGTAATGTGTTTTATTGATGATTCAGATTAGCGTTGTATAATTAGGAACAAAGAACTATAACACAATAGCACTGATATAGTCGACGCACACGCTGCAATGAAGGTGATTAATGAACAATAGAACAATAGAAATAGGAACAACAATGGGACGCTAATGACGGTGGAGGCCCTTACCGGATATCAATTAGATATTAGCTAATTGATCTACACATCTCCGGAACCGTGCATTCTACACAAAAATGGACCGCGGATTCGTGATCAGAGCATGCCAAAACCTTTAGGATCGGGTGTCGACGAACGTCGTTGAACCACGTCTGACTCAGGTATAACCGTTATTAAACATTTAATAATTGTTTCTCTGCGTGATAAACTTAGAAATGAGTATATCCGCAGTAGAACCAGAGTAACCGACATAGCCCAACGGATTAGTAAGCTGAAGTGGCAGTGGGCCGGCCATATAGCTCCAAGAACCGACATCCGATGGGGAAGAAAGGTTCTTGAATGGCAGCCTTGTACCGGTAGGCGAAGTGTAGGGCGACCCCCCACGAGATGGAGTGACGACCTGGTAAGATATACAGGAAGTCGATGGATGCAGGTGGCTCAAGACCGTGCTTTGTGGCATTCCTTGGGGGAGGCCTATGTTCAGCAGTGGACTTATGAAAGGCTGTAATGATGATGATGATGATGAAACATTTAAAAATTATACAAATTTTAATAAACCACATGTTTAAAGTTACATCATC